TTAATAAAAAATGTTCAAAAAAATTAATGGAGTGTATAAATTATTGTTATTTTTTTAACTTATTGTGTTTAGTGTTTACATCTTTACTTTACAGTAAGGTTTATAGTCATTTTGCCAAGTATATTTAATAATTAAAGTACGAATGTAGCGACTTTGTGACCTGAAGTTTCTGCTGCGGCCGTTTATAACTTAAAATCTTTATATAACAATACGATAAGAATGAGAACAATTTCTATTTTATACGTTTTGTTTGTATAATAACAAAAATTACATTTTCAGTTAGATTGATAGTTTATAAATGACATGGATAATAATAAACGCTTTGATAATATTCATCACGCTTCGCTTTGTTAAATTTTTTCTAAAAGCAAGATAAGTGCGAGTTGTGAAAATTTAATAATTTCTATAATAAAAGGGATTATGTGATCGCGAAAAGTTGATTTTTATTTTTTATAATAATTTTAAACCTTTTACATTATATTATATTAAATACATCCAACGATAAAGAAGCGTACGAACAATCCTGAGTATCGGAAACACATAAATGACGTTTGAATCGCACCCACGCACGGCCCGGCTTCTCTGGGAGGCATTCGTTTGTGCCATTCGTATTCTAGTTGACATTTCTTTAGAAAAGACGTGCTCATAGAAAAATAAAAAACGAATATGAGAAAAGAAAAATCAAAAGTGAATAAGAGCAATATAAGACTGAATGCATAAAGAAAATAACTCGTCAAAGAAATATGATATTACCATTGCAAATATAAATTCAATATAACTTATATATATATATATATAATTTTGGGGCTATATTTGAAATGTCCCGGTAAAGTGCCGGATAACATATTAACTGCCATTAATGGCATATCTTATCCAGCACTTGTCAGTGTTCAAATTTTTTTTAACGTTAAGTAAATTTAACCACCAAATAACTTCGTTATGTGACGGACGATTCAACCTGTAGTCACCAATCTTATGAAATTTAGTATACATATAGAGCATTGTCTGGAAAAACACAAAGGTTAATTATGTTTTTTTAATTTCTCGCGGACGGAGCCGCGGGCGACAGCTAGCATTAGTATAAATAAACGATTCCAAGTAAACAACACATTTATATTTCTATTGAAAGGATGTGAAAAACTATTATTTCTACAAGATAATACATGCAGACAATCTACGCTAACGGGATATCGTATTCATCGCTAAATAAACGAATGCGCCACTCAAATAGGTAGAGTATCAAATTGCAAGCGAGAGGAAAGACATATAAAAGAGCTTTGTCGCGAGCTTGTTACCGAGAATGGTATCAGATGCGATTTGTTATTGCATTTGAAACGTAGAAGTAGGATGTACAAATCTTAACTATTTCATTGTTTTACCTTTTTCTACTGATTATGACTGCATTTTTGTTATTAAATTTAATGTTTTTCGAAATTAAAGTCAATCGATAACATTAAATTGTTATCTACTTGAACTAATAGTCTTTTCCATTAGAATTAATATTTGATCTTTCGACGTAACACGTTATATTTACAATCTTTAAATCTTTGAGTTAAAATATTTGTTAACATAAAATTTAAATAAAATTAATAAGTAAATAAGTTTTTAAATTTAATTGAATAAATAAGAATATTTATTTAACTTATAAAATATTATATTATTATACATGAATTGTAAAATGAACAAACGAATCTGTAACCTGCGGGTAATTAGGCTAATGAAGCCGGATGTCTTTGTGTCTATTTATGAGTAACTGGATAGGAACTTCTTCAACTTTTCATTCTCCCAACAGAAACTGCACTGCGCAATCTTACTTCTTACTAATACTTATTTTAAATGAGAAAGTTAGTGATAACTGGATTTATCGATAAAAACATCGTTTATAGCATTCTAAATTACTTGACTACATCACAGTCGTTTTTTGTTCATTAAGGGAGGGACTTAGTGTCGATAGTATAAGAAATGTAGACTAAGGGAAGTGCATACGTAATCAATATATACTGAGCGTGGAAGTAAATGTATTAAAAAAAGTTTTTTTTACTTTATCAAGTAAACATTTAGCAACAAGAAGAAATTAATAACGCATTTCCTTCAAGTACTGTAATGAAAAGAGGTGTCATATCTTTTGAGTTATTCTTTTCGAGTATTATCTCCGTTCATAAAGAATTCACAGATAATTTATTTGCTTGCGATTTGCATGAGAGAAAAATTGTTTGAATTTCCTACAAAGAGATATCAGAAGCACGTCGTTTGCAAGCTCTTCCTGTGTTGATTAAATTATGTCAGTTAATAAAAAGTAAATGAGAAATATAGGTTTAAAACAGACATATTAAACCTACATACTTCTATCAAAGTATTATTAATCAAGTTGTTTTAGAATAAAAATATATACCGAATGGAACTATACTGAAATATATATAATTATTTTGAACTTAATGTTATTCTCTCAATTGCTTAATTATAAGTACATTAGTTCCCAGGAGACTTTTCCTTTTTCTTCCTATTGTCATTGGAACCATGAAACTCTTATTATTTACTGGCGTCATTTACTAATGACATTTGTAACAAAATAACGATACAAAATGTAGAAATTAAATTTTTAATTGTGTCTTATGTTACGAAGTGGTACAAAAGTGTACCTTTTTTCTATCGAGACAAAGATTATATGAGAAAATCGGTATACTTTCCGCTGATGGGAACGAACTTAATGCTAAGGGTCGATTAATTAATTACGACGGCCGCAACATGCTCCTTCATGAGATCCCATTTCTATTTATCAATTGTACTCCGAAATAATTTATTTTTTATAGGAAAAGCTTCAGTTATCCATATTTGAGGATAATAGTTACATGTTAGAAAAATATTTCCGTAAATGCCAATCTTTACATAATTGTTAATGCTTACTTTATATTAGAAATGCAAATGTAACTCTATCTTGCTTTTACGCCAAAATAACTGAACCGATTTAAATGAAATTTGGTACAAAGATAGTCTAGAGCCTGAGGAAAGTTATAAAGGCTACTTTTTAACATGAAAAAAGGGTTGTTAGGGGTTGAAAGTGCATTGCACGATGTCGTCTCTGAGGAGCGCCTACGGGCGCATTGAGGAGCCCTATTCTCGGGCTGGTCAGTGGGGCGTCGCGGTGGTAAGTTAACACTATCCCGTGGCGTCCCACACTATGGCTATGAGGGAACAGAGGGGTTTAGTGGGTATGCTCCCATTCGGGGAGAGAATCCCATATAACTACTGTGCTTTCCCCGAGGCACGGAGTATGCCTAAAGAATTCCCTCCTGGAAAAAAAGGGGTTGAAAGTGGCGCTGAAAATGTTTATGGAATTATAGTCATTTTCACAGTTAGAAGCTTGATACGTATTTTTAGGCTGTTAATATGATATAAATAAATGTGCCATTCAAAGTTTGTAAAAGTTTTACCATTAGGGTGCCAAATAACAATAGGGAATAGGGATGAAAGTTTGCATCGGAATAATATGTAAGAATTAAGTGAATGTTTTGTACTCGTTATACATATGTTTTGTTTATGAGCTTACGTTAAATAATTAGCCTAAATAATTAAACTGCTACCCGAAGACAATATTTCAGGCAGACGAAGTCGCGGGTACACCCAGTAACTTATATATACATACCAAAAGGTACATATACAATCAACAACGTCGTAGTTATATTTAACATCGATTAGCGTAATACTGTATGATTCATCTCCCTTGGTTCTATTAAAAGCCGGTGGTATTATTTTAACTGACGTCTTGACGCATGTCTATTGCGGCACAAACAAACACATTCTATGTTTGATCCACTCGCACTTTGTACACGTCATAAGAAGTCCAGAATATGTAGATTAACTATAGTAATTCGTATCTTCACTAATATTCTAAGGTAATATGCACTGTTTGTTCCAGAGAAATTCTAACAATGTTTTACGCTTCTACAAACAAACAACTTAAAATAGACTTTGATGTTTTATTTGACAGTTAAGATAAACATATTCAAATAGTATAACATAGTCAATTAATTTGTGAAAAAAAAGAACCAGTCGACAGAAGGATTAAATCGTTGCAGATTCGTTTGCGGATCATCCAAGCTCTCGGCTTTTGAGGAATTATAAATTAAAAAAAAAATGGAATCCAAGCTTAATAATCGGTGATTCTTTTTGATGATTTTAATGATTTAATCAATACGAAAATTATAAAAATATCCTGTGTTTTCTTCGTTTTCTAAGGTTTTTTTTAATAACAAAACAAGTCATAAGGTCGCGTCTGTTAATCATTAATTTAAAGTAAAAATTTCCGTAAAGAGAAATGCATCGCTAACGGAGCCTCGCATTTGGTGTTAAATTTATGTTTGTCGCGCTACTAAATGCATTCTGCTCAAATAGCTTGCGCATTTAGCGTCGGAACAGTTGGAAATATAAAATGTTACGTTATTCATTTCACGCACGGCTGCATGCGAAATAAGTTATGGTTTTGGAAAATGTTTGGTTTATGAGTTATGGCTCACTTGAATTTTAATTCAAAACCATTGATGAGTTCTTTGAATGTATTTGGTTGTCATCATTTCAGATAAGATTGGATATTTTATATTGAACTAGTTGTCGCCCGCTGACTCCGTTCACGCGGGAATAAAAAAGAACTTAACCGAGGTCTTCTTCCATACAAAGTTCTACATCTGTTCAAAATTTTAGTAAGATCCGTTGAGCCAATTCGAAGTTCCTTCAAACAAACATCCATCTAAACTTTCACGTTTATAATATTACGAGGGTGAATCAAAAAGTTCTTAGAAGTGCATATATATGAAACTTTTTTGGATCAAGTTCGATATTCAAATTAAAGAGTGTCTATCACACTATATTTTTGCAGACTGTCACTTGTTTTTGTCAGTTCGTTCGCATGTAATAAATTGTTTTGTGCAACGAGTTGCTAAAAAGTCAAAATTATGGATAATAGTGAGTTACGTGCGGTGATAAAATATCTCAGTTTGAAAAAAATGTTTACGAAGGAAATTTTTTTGGACATTCAGCAGACAGGGGGGGGTGATGCTGTACCCTATTCTACGGTTGCGTACTGGATGGCTGAATTTAAAAGAGGTAGATCAAGCTGTAAAGATGACCCGCGTTCTGGGCGGCCTTCAACCTCCGTTACAGAAGAAAATGTCAAAAAGGTTGAGAATCTGATTTTGGAAGACAGAAGAATGACTATAAAACATATAGTTGAGATCCTAAAGATATCTTTTGGTAGCGTTCAATCCATTTTAATTGATTCACTGGGGTTCAAAAAAGTGTCTGCAAGATGGGTGCCACGAATGTTAACCGACGAAAACAAAAAGCGACGTTTGGAAATTTCCAAGCGTAATCTCGAAATGTTCCAGCATGAATCGGATAATTTTTGCCGTCGTTTTGTCACCATGGATGAAACGTGTGTCCACCATTTTGATCCTGAAACTAAAAGACAAAGCATGTCTTGGAAACGGCCATCCTCTCCATCCATCAAGAAATTTCGAGTTGCTCCTACCGCTGGCAAAGTTATGGCCTCTGTGTTCTGGGATAGTGAAGGAATCCTTTTTATTGATTACATGCCAAAAGGCCAGACGATTACTGGACCCTATTATGCAAATTTAATCCCGAAAGTGCGTGAAGCGATTAAAGAAAAACGTCGTGGAAAACTGTCGTTGGGCGTGTTGTTCCTTCAAGATAACGCTCCTGCTCATCGATCGGAAGTTGAGCTCAACGCAATCCGCTGTGCTGGCTTCAATCTCCTTGACCACCCACCATATTCTCCGGACTTAGCCCCAAGTGATTTTCACTTATTTCCAAAATTAAAAGAGGAAATTCGTGGAACAAAATTTCACGATAATGACGCGGTTATAGCTGCCGTAGAGTACTTTTTCGAGAGTCAAGAAAATTTTTTTTTTCACAAGGAATAAGGAAGTTAGAAACGCGTTATTCTAAATGCATTGCATTGGAGGGAGATTATGTAGAAAAATAAAATATTATTATTTAAATCTTTGCATTTTTTAATATTGATTCCAAGAATTTTTTGATTCACCCTCGTAAGTAAGATTTTAAAAGTAATCGATAAGATTTTATTTACAATATTCTTTATAAGTATAGTATTATTCTCGCGATATAAAATAATATCTTATATTGCAAACATAAACCCTTACATAAAATATTCCAGTAATCTGCAAATGGTAATATATTTAGTTGCGCGACGTTCATAAATTCTGCATGTGAACAAATTTTCCTCGAGGGTATTTTATTTTTTCAACTTCACGTCCGATGAAATATTTTACGAGTTAATGTACAAAATAAAAAAAAAGTTTAAACAAAACTTAACTACAAATGTAGCAGAAGTATTAATTAGTGATGGTTAAAAAAAACCACCTTGGACCACAAACACGATGTCGTCAGTATTGACGATAAATATAAATAATTAAATATAATTTTACATCATTATGTCATAGTTCGTCGGTGATTTAGGGATTGCAGCACATGACTTGTAATCTGCAGTTCTTGGGTTCGAATCCTGCCATGTATAAATTTTTTGATTTTCGATTTACATATGTACATTTATCCGATGATCTTACGGTAAAGGAAAAGATCGTGATACAACCTGCACATATCAGCAAATAAACAAAGGTATGAGTGAATTCCCGGGAGAAAAAGCGGCGTTGGATCTCGCTACCCGTCACGTTCCGTCTCCCAAAAAAGGCAAAAAGTAGATTGCGAAGGTTCCTTTGGCCACATCAAATGTAGTTCCTTGATCTCTGCCAACCCTTCTAGGTTATAGGCGTGAGTTGTATGTATATAATATTGCAAGTATTATACCATCATTCTCTGCCACCACTATAGACAATGTAAGCAACTCTTGTTATGGTAATTTTGTGACTGATCCGATTAATAATCAAGTGCCTTCGTAGACTATGAGTAGGCTTTTACCTTTAAAGCGTGTAAGCGAACTCAACTACACTACATTATTTATTACGTGTAACTTACATGATTTTATTACAGTACATTACTAAGCATTAGTGCATTTTAAGTTTCACATAGTTTTTTTTTAATTTAAAGATGTGTAACGATAGTGTGTCCGTGGATTTCTGAGACCAAAATTTCTGTATAAAACATATCGTCATCTCTGTCATTATCTTTGACAAACACAGATAACAATATGTTTTTGACAGGCACAATCGGAATATAAGGGTGTTTTTAAATGAGTGAGTTAAGTCGATATAATAAAAAAATATTGATCCTGTTTATGTGCATTCAATCAGTCTTATGGGGATAAAATTTTCATTGGGCCGATTGAATGTTAGGCTTAACGGTAAACACCCACTATACCAGTAATATTTATAAACGATCCATTTGTTTAATTCATAACGAAGTATCTGTACTAGGTCATGATTCAATATTGCACGTTAGCAACGACCTTCGCTTCGGATGCCAGTCGACATCATAGCCTGAAAATAATTCTACCGTAGTACAGCTCGCGCCCGCTCAAATTACGTACAGTTTGCGCTCCTCTTTACCTCGATGTGCTTTTAGAGGCCAGAATATAACGTTTACAGACCTGTCATTCAATTTTATGTTAGTATGTAAAATATTAATAGAAATTGCCCTATTTTATTAGGTTTTTCCAAGGATTTTGTTACTCAAAGACTTAAGGATTCATTTTATCAAACGCTATGTTTAAATTGTTATTACGGTAGCTTATTAAATTGTAACAATGCTATACAGTACTATTAACGGTTTAAAATTCATATTGCAGCAAGTAATAATTTTATAGCAAAAACCCCAAACTCATATCAAGCAATCTCCGAAACTTCTCAGCTGTTTTCAACTAATTTATTACCCGTGTTTATGAGATGTTAAGTCAGTATAGTAACACCTCGTAAAGTTAAAAATAAAAAGTAATCGATAATTTTTCAGATGTTATCGATAAAAAGTTCCTTATATGTAATAACACATATAATATTAAAGGTCAAGTGAATAAATAAATCGGGCATTGTTCCTTAATTTGCCTTTGCTTTGAGTTATGCTTTAAGTAATTCTTAAAATATTTAATTTCATAACTTGTTTGTACTATTTCCCCATAATATACAGAGACGGATGAAATCAAACTTAATTTTAAAACAAATTGATTAAAGATATTGGAAATGCTTGTGCGCTGGATTTAATATCGAGTCAGTTTTAGTCGTGTCTATCAAAGAGCTGCAGCGGAAAGTCAAACTTTATAACTTGACCACGGAACTTTAGAATAGCTTAATAGACGGTATCGGAGTCAGCCAGTGGGAGGTTAATTTACACTGAACTTCTTGTACAGTATTTCATTTAAATTATGTGCATTATTAATTAACTATTCATTAGTTTATATTGTTGTATACAAGAAAAAAGATAGAATTTATTTATGTTTCGCTGTTTCTTTTCTTGTCTTCTTTATACGCTACTAATATAATTTTTATTTTGTTACAGGTACTACAAACCAACTCCTTCTTTACATTTCTTACTATGGCATAAAACGATATACAATAAAATGAGCTTCCAAACATTTAAAACGAGAATTTCATAAACATTGAAGAGGCCGTAGTAGTGTAGGTTCGAAGATTGCGCCGAGAGAGCAATGAAGTGAAAAATCGACGATGACAACGAAAGAGGTGGAACTGACGGGCGGCGCGCCTTGGGGCTTCCGTATGCACGGCGGTGCGGATCACAACCAGCCGCTCAGGATATCGAGGGTACGTTTGCATAGTAATGTACCGCAGACACAAAGCTTATTGCTTCATATTTATATTCCAATATGATTCGTTTTGTAAAGTAAAATGTAACGAATTTATTGTCCGTATATTTGGAGAATTAATGAACTTGTAGGCTCAATTATAAACTTGGTGTTTAAATTGAATAGTTTTATAACTCTCTAGGCCAACAAACTTGTCTGATCTAGTGAGAAAAATAAAAGTTTCTGAGATAAAAATCCCCGTTTAAAACATATTGTTATCTCTGTTTTGTCAAAGATGAAAGTAAGGGATGACGATACATTTTATAAAGAGATTTTGATGTCAGAAACCCATGTTTATACATAGAAAATGGTACACTGGTCAGGAAATAACTATTGTACTTTAGTTTCACTTTTGCTAGGACTAGATATGCTTATATCCATTTGCAAAAACGTTGAAACTTTTCGTCGAGCTCAGTGTTGTTAGAAAAAACAAATTTGTAATGAAGGGCAATAAAGTCAAAGGTAAAAACGGCTCCGATGATATCAAATCTAAAAATAGATACACAGATAAACGAAAAACAATAGAATCCTGAACATTCATGACACATTAAACGTTATTTCTGTTCCCTTACTCAAATCTTGCGTTGAATCGAATACGTTTTAAAAATAAATGTGTTACAATTGCTCTCGTAATTGAGGATTTCTTTTTTCTCTCCGCAGAGCTATAGCTATCCCGAACGTGCACTTAATGTGAGTACAGCTGGACTGTTGTAAATGATCAATTAACTAACCAACAAGGTCGTTTGATGTCGACTCTATATTGTAAAAGCGTTATAACGAGTCGCAAAACTAACAATGTTATTAATGATATACAGTAACTTCGCTTTGCTATATAATAACACAATCATAATAGTGTTTTTTTAATAATGAGAATAATAATACGTACGTGCGTATTCCTATGATTTTTTGCTAATAAAGAATCATATAATACTATTTTAATCTTACCAATATTATAAATGAGAAAGTTTCGATGGATGGATGTTTGTTCTAAGATAACTTTGCAACAGCTCGACGGATGAATTTTGCACAGATGTCGAATATAGTCTGGAAGAATACATAACCTACTTATTTTTTATTTCGCGTAAATAGAGTCGCGGGGACTGCTAGTATACAAAAGGAATTAAGAAATATAAATACTAAAGAGTGCTCTTTCATGTTCTCAGTATTTTGTATGTTTAGTGTTTATACACGAAGTTATACGCAATGTAAGCAATCTCGCTTTGACACACACAATTTTATATTACAGCACCTGGATTATCTACCTTTTGAGTTTTATAAATATTATATAGTCTGTTGATTTCTTTATATTTGTTTAATAAATTTTGTACACTATTTATAAACAGTACCCAGCTGGCATTCGAGTAAAATAGGAATATTTTTTTGCCAATCGTCAATAATTACGTACATATAAAATTATTAAAAGGGACATTTTTCTTAATTATAACATAACTTAGTGCTTTGAATTAAATACAATAATAAAACACAATAAAAAAGATAACAAAGAATGTCAAACAAGTTATATAAATAAAAGAGGCACCATTTGTATTATTTCCGTTGTGTAAAAAATAATATGCGCATCTGCTTCCTTTCATTATGAGTATAACATTTTTCGCCACGTTTCTTTGCGGTAGCTGTTGTAGTCTGGTTTATATTTGCTGAATAACATTCGAATGGAAAATATCTTAGTAAGACGTCCACTGATATGATTTTTTTAAAGAGATCGAATATAATAACACATGCCTATTTAATGGACGAGCGTCGGTGGCTCAGGGGTCAAGCACTAGACTTGTAATCTGCAGGTCCTGGGTTCGAATCCCGCCATGTACCAATGTGTTTTTCGATTTTCCGATTTACATATGCACATTTATCCGACGCTCTTACGGTGAAGGCAAACAATCCTTATGCAACCTGCACTTATCTGAGAAGAAATTCAAAGATATGTGTGAAGTCAACCAACCCACACTTGGCCAGCGTGGTTGACTATGGCCTAATCACCCTTAACTTAGGGTAGTCTCCGAGCCCCTCGGTGAGGACGTATAGTGATCTGATGATAATAATGATGATGATTTAATAATTAGGTCAAGATAAGAACTTTACTTGTAAACAAAATTATATGCATCTATTTTTTGCATAAATACAAAAGGAAAATAG